AGGGTTCGAATACTGTTCCTGAGCCTGGAAGGTGCATTTAATGGGACACTAAACTCCTGCAGAATTATACCTTGAGATAAATTACAGCTCACCCTCAGCATCACCTTCCTGCAGTATTTACTGCCATTATGTGCTGGCAGTTCAGCAGGCTATAGAGCTACCAATATATATTTGACAAAGACTTTTATACTTTTTTTCCAATATTCATGACTACAAAAATGGGAAGAAATGCAAAAAAAAAAGCCTATTTTTAGATTGTTATGAAATGCCCTAAAATAATAAACAATATAAAACATAAGATAATTTAAAACAATACATTTTTACACATAAGCTATTTATATGGTGATCTGTTTTTTCTATTATTCATGAACAAAGTAATTTATATAAAACCGAAAAGAACATAAACTCATATGTCTATCTGCTATTCTTCAAGTCCAACAGAAGAGGTGGGCTGGGATACAGCCTGTTCCTTTGAGCTGACTGGCCTGTAATTTTAAGCCCTAAATCCTGTAATCAGGTTCAGTAGTACAGCCCTGCACCTGCAGGGAGCCTTGCTGGTCTGCTAGCAGCAACCCATGAGGTACCAGACCCTCCTGCAGGATCTAAGGATTTAACTAAACTGAACAAAATTTGGTGTCAGAATGAAAGTTCAGTCTCTCCTTGTAGTCGGAAAATATAAAATAGAGTACAGGAAAAAATCATACATTAGGTCTGTGATATCATTAAAGTCAGTGCAGTCATTCCAAATTAGTAATGACATAAAAGTAATCGGAACTTGGCCTTTGAGATTAAGTTCTATTAGTTTGCTAATATTATGTAAATTCTATATTTGAGAGGTAGCCTGCAGTCATCTTGGCCCTTCTCTTTTAAAGGAAAGTTCTGCTTAAAGTCTGCTGATACGAGCTCAGGCCATTATTTTATAACTCCTTTTTAAATCACGACTGATTTTACGGTCCATATTTATGTTTACAGGTAACATCAAGCCAGAGAAAGAAGAGTGGTGAAAAGAAATTTGTTTTCAAGTTGCCAATCAATAAACAGTTCCAGCTAAAAAACTATGCAAAAAATAAATTTAAAAATATACCATAAAAATCATGTATACCATTAGAAAGATTATCATACTAGAAATACTAGTTCCGTGCCTCCTTATGGTTGGTGAGTACCAACCACTAGAAGTCAATACTATCAACCATTTGGCATACTTGTTGGCCTAACCTGTTTTGTTCATACAGTGTGTCTAGGCTAGGCATAATTCCACTGCTTGCAGCTTGGGCTTAATGCAAGAAAATCTACAGTGGTAACAGGAGCAATCTGAAAAGTTGCAAAGTGAAATACTTGCTGGGTTGCCTATAGGAATACTTTAAGCCTATAGGAATACCTTACTGTGTGTTGTCCTACTCAGGACCTAAAATGGCTGTTTTGCAGGGAATGTTGTTGCCTGGTGACCAAAAGTGCATCTCCTAGGCCACAGAGGGATGTGAACATTCAGAAATTGATTTGTTCCTGTTGCTCTTGAGGAGACCATACCCGTAAAATAGATTAAGCCAGCACATAATCATCTATGCAGCCTCCTTGCTGGCATGCTTAAACTTGATACTGAAGGCAGGCCTGTGATTTTGAGCTACTTATCACCCAGGCAAGGGAAAAATAGAATAATACCTTGTGCGCTACTGCCCACAGAATGTGAAAGTAGACCGAGCCTCAGCTACTGTGAGACTGCAAGACACCCCTGCTTCAATTAAGTCTGTGTTGTACATCTAGCCTGTTCCGGTGCAACCTCCCAGTTGCTATCAGGCTCTCTTTCTTTCATTAGAATCAAGTAGTTAATTAGCCCCAGCCTGTCCTCTCTCCTTCTCTCTTTCCCTTTAACGCAGCAGTAATGATGTCTAATTACCAGCAGCAGTGGATTACAGCACCATCAGGAGCAAATCTCTCTGGCTGACAGCAAAGCTGAGCAGCAAATCTTAAAGCTTCAAGGAGAGAATAATTCCTAACGAAGTATTTGAATATTTGCTTATTTTTGACCAGCTTGTGACTGTAGAGTCCAACTTGTAATTTCATCCATCCTGTTACTGCACAGGGAGTGCTCATGCTGCCAACAGTGATTAATTTTAAATTGAAATTGCTTTTACCTATGGTGAGATCAAGTGATGGGCAAGAAGGGGGAGAGAACGAGGGAGAGATTCACAGTTTGGGGCTTTGTTAGCATTTTGGGCTCTCTCTGCTGACTGGACAGGCTCAAATGTACAGGATAATAATGAGAGATGAGGGAAAAACAAAACACAGTGGGGATGTTTCTAAATGGTCATAAATTAATAAACTCTTAAATAATTAGTAAGAGTTAAAAAATGAGAGAATGGGCTTTTAAGGCTTACCAACAATTACTGTCTGATGAAAATGCAATTCTTTTCCCCCAGTAACTTATCATCCCCAGCTGGGTGAAATTCTAGGCCTCTTGAGTCAATAGGAGCTTTGCCACAGGCTTCCTTTGGGCCAGGGCTGCATCCCTGTTTTGTCACAGGGATTCTTTCTGAGCTTTCAGTGCCCTGCAGGTGCTGCCCCAGCTCTGGAAATAGCCCATACAAACCATTGCCACCCTGCAAGTCTGCTTAAATACCCCTCTGCCTTTTGTGATGGGATAGTGACACCAGATTCATGGGTTTAGGAGAGGGTGGTATTTGTTTCTCAGAGCTGAATGTTTTATGGGAGTTCTAAGCAACACCTTTTCTCATTTGTGTTGGACAGCAGATTTACATTTGGCAGCAGGAAGAAATTGTACCTACATGCAAGATCTCTTCTGTAAAGGTTTATATTTCATTGTTCAAGTAATATACAGATATTCAGGAACTGCTTACAGATAGGTCATGCTAACTTTCCTTTCTTGATTTCATTAGCAGACATCCTTATTTTATTAGAATGCCCGCTTGGTTGCTTAAGCTATCCAAAAAGAGTTACTTCTGTATTAATATAAATACATATAAAGGGACATAAAGAGACATTCACAGACAAGGGTTTGACTCCCCAAATGCACAAAGGTGAGACCACCAAGATGCTCGCCCTCTGACTGAAATCCCTAGTGGGGAAAAAATAAAATAAAAATTGATTCTGTGTTCTTAAAATAGAAAACAGGAGGCAAGGTGGGACTCCAGGCTTTCATGGCCTAGCAAAGGTGAGAGAAAATAGGCAAGCTGATCATCACTGAGTCTTGTGTTTCAGATGCCCAAAATAGCACTTAATTTTTAAATTCCATCTTGTAAAATAAAAGTTAGCCTCTTTTTTTTAGTAGCAAAGTCAATGTAATTTTAAAAAATACTGAATTTGCTTACAGTTTTGAACTTGCAGTGAAAAGGATAGTCTTGGAAATAAATAGTCTTGCTCACTGGCTCACTAAAATAATTATTTCAGTGAGCAGAAGAGATATTTAAAAATACCGACCTAATTGGAGACTTTTGCTTTAGACAACGTTTTTGTTATAAATTGTATCTACATTACCCTCTGGCCTCAGAAATTAGCAGTCATCTAACACTAGAACAGAGATCTGCCAAATAACCTGAATCTATAGGCAGACCTGGAATAGTTCAGTGAATAAAAACCATAGAGAAGGAACAAACTCTGTCCAGAGCTTCTTTTTCATTTTCAATCTTCAGATCTGTAAACTCCTTAAAATTAATTTCCCATCTCTGCATCCTCACAGCCACGACAGCGCTGATGACAAGGGGGCAAATAGAAGCCAGCCTCTGGGAATGCCCAGGTTTATGACTTCAGCAAGGCAAAGAGAGGCAGATTTCCCCAGCAGCCTACGTCACAACCCAACCCAGAATACTTTCCAAGAAGCCCCCTTTGCTGCGCCACTTAGCAACATTCCCGTTAGGTCCGGATAAGCTGCCACTCCAGGAAAAGAAATAAAAAAAAAAAAAAAAAGAAAGAAAGAATATTGCTCATCCAAGCCAAATGCCCAGGAAGGAATATTTTTAATTGCTGGGTTTCCTTTCTCGGCTCCCCCTCCACACCCGCCCCACGCACAGACAAAAGAAGCTTAGTTTGCGTGACCCAGCACATAAGAAGTAAGAATAATGATACATTAAGAGAGTTCAATAGGCAAAACCTACTTGCAACCAACAGTCCCCATCTTCTTAAATAGGAAAATCTGTCGCTCCTGCCACCACCAAGCATAATAGCTCTCCCGCTGTCAGACCTGCACCGAGTCCGCGGCGCCAGCGCCTGCCGGGGATGCCACGCTACCCTAGCACATTGAACGGAGTGCTGAGGGGCTCCCGCGACCCCAAAAAGAGTCACAAAATACACCCTTCCCTCGGTCATGCGGAACCCCGTTCTCCCTTTGTTGAGCATCCTCTCTCTCCCCCGCCGCTCCTTACGAGCGCAGCCGGCCCTTCGCAGCCAAGCCGGGCACATTCGTGGCCGCTCGGCGGCGGCTCCAGGGCTGCGGGCTAACAATAAAAAAAAAAATAATAATAATAAATAAATAAATTATAACCCCCAACCGATATCCCGGGGAACCACCGCCCGGCGCCGCGCCTGGCTTTGTGCCAGGCAGGGTACCCCCGTGCGCCATCCATCAGCCCCGCCGGCGGCGGGGGCCGCTGCCCGGGGCGGCGGGGCCCGGCACAATGGCCGGAGCGGCGGCGGCGGCGGGACAATAGCCCACCCAAACCGCGCCGCGGCGGCCCGGGGGAACGGGGGGGACAAGGAGGATGAGGAGGACGAGGGGAAGAACGACACCGACCCGGCGGGGTGCGTTGTGCGCGCGATCGCTTTAAATGAAAGGACCCACAAAGACCTCGGCGGTGTATAATGTGACAGGCAAACGCAACATGGTGATGATGACTTGGGGGAAGAGGGAGGAAGGAGCCAACTGTGGCTGTGGCTCCCCCTGCGCCTCTCGCTCCCGGAGCGGGCTGCAGCGGCCGACATAGAACAAGGAAGACAATTCTCTACTAACCGTGGTTTTGACTGGCACGTACAGCACTTGCTTCCCTCCTCCAGCACCACCACTGACCTCGTCCCAGTTGCCGAGCTGGAAGCCTTTAGATTTGACCCAGAATTTGAATTTGGCATTATCCGTGGAGCTCGACTCGGAGCCGTTCAGGAGCTGGACGATCCGGTCGTATTTTTTACGGGTCACCGTCTTGGTTTTTCCAGAGTCCCCGTAAGTCCTGAGACACCAGTCTTGAAACTGGCGGTACATGTCCCGGTCGCTGCTCTCCATAATCTCCTAGTACACACACGCACACATGCACACGCCGGGGCGCACACACACGCACACACACACACACGGACAGACACACGGACACGCACACGAAACGGGCCGGGGTGCGGGGCCGGGCCGCCCCGCCGCACTTTGCACCTGTTCACCCAGCGCTCATGAAAAATGCATCCACCTCCGAGCCGGAGCGAAGGAGGTCCCGGTGCAGGCAGATCCCAGCGGATTTTTTTTTTCTTTTTTTTTTTTTTTTTT